GACCCTTGGCCAGGCTTCGCAGCTTCTCCTCAAAGGCGTCCCATCTCACCGGGATCTCCACTTCCTTTGCCGGGCACTGCTCCAAGATGTAGCTCCGAACCTTCTCCGCCGTCTTCCTGTCCGTGTCGTCTGGATTCAGGGCATTGATCTCGAAGATGAGTGTCTTCTTGTCCAGCTGGATGATCTGCTTCTCAAACTTTGCCGGGATCAGCTTCTTCAGTCGCTCGTTCTTGTCTGCCACCGTTTCGGGGAGACATTTGTGTGCCAGGTCGCGGTGGGTGCCAAGGAAGAGCAGCATCGAGGGCTGCCCCTTCGTTTTGGAGGTGAACGTGTTGATGGTTTGGATGAACTTCTTCAGGTTCTCTTCGTTGGTTCGGATGCAGCGGTAGGGCTTGGAGACGGCCTTGCCCCTGCGCCAGTAGCCAATCAGAGGGTGTTCGTCCAGCGACTGTGACAGGTCCATCACCAACGCACAGGCCGAGGTCTCGCCAAGGAACACGGCCATGGCTTCCATGAACTCGGGCTGTCCTCCGCTGTCCACGACGTACACCACCGTCTCGTCCAGGAGCGTCTCGTGAGAGTCGCTGGGGATGTTGATGAGGGAGATGTACTCTTGGTCCTCCTCAGATGACTGCAGCAGGGACTCCAGTGTCACCTCTGCTGGGGCTGCTCTGGACGACCTGTCAGGAACGGCTGTTGATGTGTTTGTGGTGGGACTGCCAGTGGTTTTCACTGGCTGTGTGGCTGTGGATGACTGCTGGGCTGAGGACGAGGGCTGGGCTGGGGAAGATGGAGCAGGTGTGGGGAGGGACGCTGGGTCTTGGCTGGTGAGAGAGGCTTGGCCTAGTCGCTGGGCCCGCTCTCGCAGGAGGCTGGCAATGTATTTCTTCTTCTCCTCCGGGTTCCTCTTCTTCCAGTGGACCTTGTCGTGGACGACGACCACCTCTGTTTGGACGGGTCTCGTCAGGAGTGGTGTGCTGGTGCGCTGGTCTTCTGCCAGTGGCTCCTCCCCAATCACTGTCTGTAGAGACGTTGATTTCCCACTGCCAGCAATCCCCACCATCACCAGTTTAGTCAGTTTTCGTTTGGTGACTCCTCGCTTCATTTCTTCTTGGTAGATCTTCTTGGCACGTCTTCTTCCTGGTGGTTATAGAAGGCAAACATGTACACGTATAGTAAAGGTGTGTAAAAGGTGTCAATAACATTCACATACGATTCCAGGTAATGCATAAGAAAATGGAGGGCCCTGGCATTGTGGCATCCCCAGCAAAGGTAGGCTGCTGGCATAAGGTTTTTTAAACGTACATGTATATAATTGCCATCATGGAATCAGAATCTCGACCGCCTTTGTAGATCTTGTTGTTTGCATGTACATTTTTTCTTGTTGTTGTTGTTCTTCTTTCTGTTCTGTCAAAGTTTACTAGTAAACCTGAGCTTCGCGATCTTTAGTTCTGTACAACTTGATTTTACATAACTACTGTATGCATAGATGGTGTTAACAAAAAAGATAGAGTGCAAAAGTTGGTACAAGTGGAGAAAGAGAAGATGAGAGAGATGCTCACCAGTGGGGAATAGGGACTGGACTCTCTCTAGAACATGGTGATACTCTCCATACTCCCAGCTGGTAGAGGGCATCTGACACATGCTCCCATGTCAGGTGAGGATGTTCAGTGGAAATCACTCTGAGCATTCTGCTTTCCTCTCCTTATCACTGGACAACTGAGACTTTATCTTATCCGTGATGGACTCTGGCACATCCATCCATCACCAAAGGTCTCCACACAGTGTGTCAGGTAATGAGTCTAGAGCTGACGTCAGGTTGGAGAGAGTGAGGCTGATATCTGTGAGGATCAGAGGAACACTTTCATACAACATTCATAACTGACATGACCAGTCAACATATTTCTTGTCATATCAACACACCATCCACTATATACTGTAGTATGTAAGCCAGTGTCATGAATAATGTTGTCCATGATGAATTACAGAGAGTGGGTGGGTTCTTACACATCTCAGCTATGTACAGCAATCAAACTCACAAACTATGCTTAGCAATCAATGTACGTCACATGGACAGAGTATTACAGTACTGTACTGCACATGTACATTCTCATACTGACCATGTGTGTGTGGTAGGTATTGTCTGACAGTCTCCAGGGCCGTGTGCTCCTCCAGGAGCCATAACACACTAGCTATCTTCCCCCACGACACACCAGGTACAGTCTGGAGGCAGTACTGCAGACCAGCCACTCTCTTCTCTTCTTCACTCGAGTATGATCTACTGTCTCTGATCTGATTTATCACTGACTCGGGAACACCAAGAAACTCCAGTAGCCCGTCCGCTAGCCCAATACCCCATAACTCTCTCACAGTAGCCACAGCACGTGCTACAGAGTGTGGAGTGAGGCTGTCATCTGGAGGGAGGAGGGGCAGGGTGACAGTAACAACCACAAAATGACTAACATCTTCACCAGTCTACAGACTGGACTGGCTACGATACCACCTGTTCCCCATCATTTGTAGGTGCATGTAAGTTACAAACAATTGATGCAGGTATTAAAGGACACAAAATTTTTTTAACTAAACAATGTTTTTTTTGTAATATCCACTGTCACATTCCCTTTAATTAACTGAAAAAGGAATGTAAGCATAACATCTTTGATTGAGCACGTGCAATGGTAACAGGCTATTTTTAGACCATTGATCGTGATTAGCCAGCCAAACATGTTGGTTGCTATGGATACACATACCAGTTAGAGGTTCGGCATTTGATCTTATAGAGTCGGCCAGCTCTGATTCTCCCACCCAGTCCAGGGCAATAATGAGTCTCCTCCAGCTGGCTAGAGGGTCGGTGTTGATCCAGTAGGATATAGCCTGCTGCTTTTGATCCATCTCATCTGGGAAGTTGGCCATGATCTCTTTCTGTTTTGATTCAGGTATGTAGAGCCAGCGTGTCAATGACCAACTCGCCTCTCTACTCCACCACCCCTCCACCTCCCTCACTACTGCCAGTACATTGGAGGTAGTGAGGGGAACACCTGCCATGGAGTACACACATGTAGTGATGTATAGCACCTACTCTATATAGACTCTGAACTAGCTCATTAATTTTCATTCGTGAATAGTGTAATGCACGTGACCAGAGGAGGTTGCACACAATCAACATTCCTAAGCTGTCCGCACATGCGGTTATAATGTAATCAAGTATCGTAGCTGCGAAAGGAAGTGGCTCTAGCTGGTGTTCAGGCGGGCCAAGACCTTGCTATCTCTCGATTGTTTATATGTCCAAGTGTGTACCACGGAGAACACTCGTAGCCTTGCAAACACCAGTGTGCCATTCTGCAGAAAGTGCTGACTCAGCGGGTTGACTGGGCAAACATACAACTCTAAGGCACATGTGACGCATGATATGTGCAAAACCTCCTCTGCCCGTGGACCAGACCCTTTGTGAGGTGCTTGTGATGTGGGTGGGGCAAACGGCCTTTCAGAATGGTCATGAGACTACAGAGGGGTGTGGTTTAGTTGACTGGGCAGTCAACAGGTCTTTCAAAGTTTGCTAAATGAGGCAGCTAGGATCATCCCAGCCAGCTTCTATAAAATCAATGAAAGATTATCCTTTTTTTAGGTCTACACCCTTTTATGGAAAGTACAGCAACTCTCCCTACACTTCACCCAATTACACTAGCTATTATCTAGTCACTGAACTGTGCCCAATATACTTACTTCGTTTCCCTCTCAGAGTGCTCTGGGCCATTTTACTGGTTAGCTACTGTCTGTGGGAGAGAGAGACTCGGCGGCTTCCTGGACAGCAGGTTGAAGGCCGCGCTCAGCCCGGCACAGGGCCGGCCGGCCGGACGGTCTACCTCGACGTCGTGTAGGTGTGTAACGTGTGTGTGTAATACGAGGCCCACCCACAAAACCAAATGCGCATGCGCGCGTAGTGGACCATGCCTAGCCTACTGTTGCAGTGATCAGATATTTTGTGAAAGCTCCTCTTGTACTGCTACCGAGTCAGGGCCTCCACTAGCTCCTATCCTCCACGAACCAGAGTTCATTTTCCAGACTGGTCCCTTCAGTCACATTGTTACTATTCTGGAGCGGAGCTCCTCAGCCCTATTACTGTATTGCATCTTTATCTTCCTCTTGCTAAAGTGGTTGCAAGAGACTGTAGCACAAACAAAAATAGGCCATGGGCACATTCCTTTTGCTTCACACCTATTATGCACATGCAGAAACTCTTTCTCCAACATACTAGGAACTCCAGGTAAAGACCAACTAAGATTATCTTTTATATCTTAATGCAGTTTTCCGCTCCTACTGTGCCAGGAAGAAGCACTTCCACCAGTTTTAGCAAATTTTGTATCCAGCGAAGCAAGCCTACCTATATCACTAAGTACAGTAGTATACTTAGTATAATAGGGATGGGCATGGTACCTAGCATCATACATTCACTTGTTATACTGAAATAAGGGCACGTCACAAGTCCCACTGGTGTCCAGATTGGAGGGGTTCCACACGATGTAATACTCCCAGATGGATTGGTACACCATGTGTGCCAGTGTGTCTGTCTGTCTACCCAGATGGAGAGTCGGTGAAGCCAGTTGACGTGGTCGTAGCCGGACTGAACACAATCCTCCCTCTCATGACCAATGGAATCCTCAAGGTCTCCGCTTTTACACAACCTCAGCAGAACTCCTGTACTTCTCTATCCTCTCCTCCAGCTACTATATACTATTCTACTAGCCTTATACATTTACCCTCCCTCCTATATCTCTGGTGTCCTTCCCCTACACAAGCAAAGCCCTTCTTTTGCATTTACTACTATACACAAGCAAGCCCTTCTTCTACTATACAATACTCTCCTTTACTCTATCCTCCACGAACCAGAGTTCATTCTCCAGACTGGTCCCTTCAGTCACATTGTTACTATTCTGGAGCGGAGCTCAGCCCTATTACATCTTTATCTTCCTCTTGCTAAAGCGGGTTGCAAGAGACTGTAGCACAGACAAAAATAGGCCATGGGCACATTCCTTTTGCTTCACACCTATTATGCACATGCGGAAACTCTTTCTCATATGTACTAGGAACTCCAGGTGGCTGTATCAGAGCGTCGGTAGACGCTCTATTAGGGATGACACGAGTGAATATCTCACGTGATCCGCGTACAAAACGCCTCAAAACTCAGCGAGAATGACTCACCATGGCTTCAAAATCACTAGCAATAGTCTAGAGGCCAATACCTAGAGGATGGAGTCTGTTGTGGGGAAACTCATTGTTGTCTGTAACATGGGACTGCTTCCTGGTCGGAAATGTTATATATGAGTCATGACACCACCCACAATCCTAAGTTGGCATAACTTGCGCTTGTTAACAAACACAATGATGGTATAAACAGAACACATCATGTTATGCCACAATCATTTGGCAGTTCCTCTGCCATGTCTCTGGTCAACTGAAGGTAAAAGTCCGGCCTCCCAGGAGAATAGTCGAGATAAGTTCTGGACGACGTGATTTTGGGGACGGCAGGCTCAATCTGTGTGCCCTCTCCCCACTCATTGAAGGAAGTAATGGACACCAGTCCTCCTCTACTGCTACGCTTCGCTCTCCTGAAGCCCTCTTTGTAGTAGGCTCCGTTTTTCCTGTCCCGAGTGGTGAGTCTGTTCCAGGGGCGCACCTGAAGATCGTCGTAGCCCGGCCCGAAACTGGGGATGAAAATCAAGTTCTTCTCCGCAGCAAACTCGGACACGGTGCCCCAGTTGGTGTAAGTGGACCCGAAACTGAAGCCCTCGGCGGCAAAGTAAGTGTAGACTCCGTCGAATCCTCCGTCCACTGCAGACTTCATGTGAGCGTGCTCCACAAGCAGAGCTATTGCAACACAATCCTCGTCAGTCCCTCGTACGGAGAGGGGTCCCCCTCGTTTGAAGACAGACGCCCACTCTCTTGCGTCACTGAGGTAGGAGTCATAGATATAGATGAGAGGAAGGTGGAGCATCGCCCCATCATTAGGATCCAATCTCTCCAGCTTATAGAAGGCAGGGTGGTGGCTGTAGTGGGAGTGGATGTATTGGAGGTCTCCCCGCACTGATTGCGGGGTCCTCCCCTTGTACGGCTCAATATGAGGGTGAGTTTGATGTCGTGTGCAAGGGCGGCGTCCAGTAAAACCGAAATGACTGGATCAGGCGGGGGTCCCTCTTCGTCAGCGAGACCTCCGGGTACCACGAGACGACGATCACTCCCACACCGGCCACTCGTAGCTGAGTCATGTGCGTCGCTACTACAGCCGGATCCCGTGAGCTGTAGCAACCGAGCTCTGGGTAGAAACTGGCTCCAATGTCGTTCTGGAGGGACGTGTCTCCCCTGAGGATATTTGCTAGTTACACTGTCCTTCCAGTGGGGGAGGTAGCGGTGGTTCCAATGCATGTAGCGGCCATCTGTCTGCACGTTTCCATACCAGGCGTAGTAGAAACGCATGGAGACAGGATTTGGCTTAGGAAGGGTGAGGTTTCAAATGACAGGGTGCATGCTTTTATTTCATATAGCCGAGGTTGTCCCTATTTCAGAGAGTCCCTTACGACGAGGCTATTCAAATGTTCCAATTGCTGCACATACAGCAAGCGACCAGTTTCTCGAATGAGCGCATTAGCACAGAAACTGGTTGGCCTCTTCCCCCAGTTTGCCTGTTACGTGCTTGGAGGATAGTATTTCGAGCCTCGGAATACATCTTCCATTGGAGGTTCGGCCCGCCATACCTCCCTACAAGCACACGGGTATGTGACATAATGATAGGGGTAACACATAACAATACCATCTATATAATTCTGACTGACATATTGTGCATATGCTGATGGAAGACGGCCTCAAGGCGGATTAATCAGTCTCGTTATGAAGCCAGCCGAGACGAAACTTCGGCGAGTTTGTCCCGCGGCACCCGCACGTACTGCGTATAGGCTGAGCTTTGCCAACGACCCAGAATCTTTATTACGGAGTCCTCGACTCCCACCGCTGCCGCCGTCGTCGCCGCCCCAATTCGGAAACTGTGGCCAGGCTGGTTCCTGGCACAGTAGGAGCGGAAGACTCTGCATAATAAATTGCAGATTAATATTTGTAGGTTTACACCCACAAAATGTCGCAGACAAAGAACAAAGACTTCCTCCCCTACATGTTTTCTATGTTTACACAACTGCAACAAAGGGCATGTGGTGCTCCCTAATTAACCCTCGGCGTGCATGTGCAGCGAGGGTTACTGTAGTTGTCGTGTGTGTCTGTCTGTCTGTCTGTTACCCAACATCTCACTTCACGAGCCATGAATCGCTCCACAAAGGGCATGTGGTGCTCCCTAATTAGAATCATAACTACGTAGAATGAACGCAACACATTTTTGGTGAGCGAATGCGAGAGTCACACGTGACATACACTCCTTCACGTAAAACATTACTGTATATGTGCAATAGCGTCCGTATAATAATGTGGAACCTCCGAACAAGGGACACTATGGGGCCAACGATTTTGTCCCTTGTAGAGAGGTCGTCCCTATCTCGGAGGTCAAATAATACACTAAAGTATTAGCATGGGGTTGAAACAAGTGTCCTTTGTAAAGAGGTTGTCCCTATTTCGGAGGGTCCCTTATCGGAGGTTCAACTGTAATGTGGAAAAGACGATTAGGTAGACTTGCTCCACTTGCCAATTATGCTTGCTGTGTTGTGTTGAAAATTTAACCTCACAACTAAGAAACAGCATTCTAACTAGCTACAGAGTCCATACGTCAATGTTATTATGTAATCCGAGGCAATCAAAATCCGAGGGGTGTCCAAAGAGAGAGTCCTAGCAGACTGGAGGAGGGGTTCTGGAGAGAATGTTGGGATTTCCTGAGACTCAGTTCTGGGCTGGAGCTGGCACTGTGGGAGGAGGGAAAGGATTGCAGCAATTTGGAGTATGTTCATACTTTTTGAATAGTAGGCACTGCCCTACCCTATTAAATTCACAGACTGTTCTATATACTACTGTACTAGAGGAATGCAACACGTTATTGACGAGCAAAGTGAGCAGTTCAATATTTCACACGTGTTTTGCGTGTATTTAGAATAATGTAGATCATTACGGTATGTGCAGTGCCCATCACATAAATTCCTGCATTGACATATAGGACTATACTGACTATACTGCTACATACATACTGGAGTCCAATAATGTACACAAGGAAAAGGCAGGCATGCATGGATAATGTTTTGACAGACAGCATGCATAGAGTACTGTCCTACATGCATACATACTGGACTTTAGTCCCAATAATGGGTGGCAATAATATCTCTATCTAGAGTGCACCAAAGGTAGCATTGTACTGGTCACTGTGAGTATGGACGGATGTATATACATCTCTCTCACACTGACCTTTGTACTTGGTGGCAATGTGTATGGCAAGGGCGTTGTTGTTCCCCCCATTGCGATGGGCCACTGCCTCCACCAACATCTTCCATGAAGGCAGTCCGAAACGCTCCGTGTTGTAAGACTGGTTCAGCCACTCGGTCACCATCTCTGACAGACAGCTGCTAGAGTCTTGTTGGTGATCAGCTTTGATTCTATCGAGGTCAGGCTGTCGTAGTCTGAGAGCTCCTCCCAGTGACTTCCACACGTGAGCCACGTCACCCAGTTCAGATACCACATCAAAATGGTCATCAATGTCTGCACAAAAGTTGAACGTGCAATATCGGCTAACTGGTTAGATAAAGGTCATTAAAGTAAAGGATGCAAAATATGAACACACTGTTTTAATGCGTACATTACACATACCTAGTGTGGACTGTTGGGAAGTGGTAGGAGGTGGCTGGGAGTGTGTAGTGGTGACTGGTGCTGCCTCTGACACTGTGGACTGCTGCTGGTTGCCTGCAGTACAGTACACACATGCTTTCAGTGTTAGCTCGGAACAGAGCTTGCAGAATTACAATGGGGATCTGAACTACATAGGCACTGGATTGGTGTGGTAATCCACTTACAAGCCTCGTCACACCAGGGAAGCACAGTGCCCAGCTCTGCCAGAGTCCCACGGACACCCATGTCACTGGTGCAGTTCCATTTTCCGTCCTTGATGTAGGCTGTGTGGGCCTTGTCTGAGTGGCTCTTTGGACAGATGATGGCTGGCCGTGGCTTGTTGTTGGAGTAGCCCAGCATGTCCGACACCGTTTCAATTCCGTTGAAGATGGATTTGCCGACGTGTTGCCATAGTTTCTGTTCCTCTTCCTCGCTAGTGGTGTCTGAGACGTGGGCCTCGAAGTACTGGAAGCGATCCACCAGAGTGACGGAACCGAAATCTGGAACATGAAACTGGATGCAGTCGCGATACAAACACTTTGGCAGGTTGGAGGAGAGGCAGAGTTTCCAGGGGTGGGGGTGAGGGTGCTGGGGAGACAGGACGTGGGCCATCAGTGAGCAGAAGATTCCGTTCTGGGGACCTCCGTCGGGGAAGTCTACCACTAGGGGACCGGCCGACACGCACACTTCCTTTACCTTCTCCTCCGCCACATGTCTCAGGACACTCGGCATCAACCAGGTCTCTGGACCCTCCTCACTCTCCAGTTTGGCAAACACCAGCAGCTCCTCCAGAAGGTGGATCAGATCCTCGCAGCTGAAGATCCCGCGGTGGTAGTGGCTGCTGAATCGCTTGTCCTCCAGGAAGGCCTTTGTCACGTGTCCAAACTTCTCAAACTGCTGCCAGCCTGGAGGGAGGAGAGACTCGTCTGCTGTCTGGGAGGAGGTGGCGGCTGCTTTCTCGGGAGTCGTGCCGTCTGTGTTGGTGGAGGTTGGCTCTGGCTTGTCAGTGTCTGGTCCATGAGTCTGGCCTTTGGCTGCTGCGCCTGCTGCCTCGTCCGGTGACGTCTTGTCTTCCTCTTCCGGCTCTCGCAGCTCAAACATGAACACCACCAGCTCCGAGACCTTGTCCAATATGACTTGTGGGTCGATGAACACCACTTCGGGGAGGATGTCGCGGAAGTAAAACATGAGGCTCCAGTTGTGGAAGAAGTCTAGGGCTTCGTTGAAGGAGTCCTCCTCCAGTCCCAGAGACTGTGCCACACGCCAGCATTCCTCGCGACTCATCACCTGCCTCCCCAGACCCTTGGCCAGGCTTCGCAGCTTCTCCTCAAAGGCGTCCCATCTCACCGGGATCTCCACTTCCTTTGCCGGGCACTGCTCCAAGATGTAGCTCCGAACCTTCTCCGCCGTCTTCCTGTCCGTGTCGTCTGGATTCAGGGCATTGATCTCGAAGATGAGTGTCTTCTTGTCCAGCTGGATGATCTGCTTCTCAAACTTTGCCGGGATCAGCTTCTTCAGTCGCTCGTTCTTGTCTGCCACCGTTTCGGGGAGACATTTGTGTGCCTGGTCGCGGTGGGTGCCAAGGAAGAGCAGCATCGAGGGCTGCCCCTTCGTTTTGGAGGTGAACGTGTTGACGGTTTGGATGAACTTCTTCAGGTTCTCTTCGTTGGTTCGGATGCAGCGGTAGGGCTTGGAGACGGCCTTGCCCCTGAGCCAGTAGCCAATCTGAGGGTGTTCGTCCAGCGACTGTGACAGGTCCATCACCAACACACAGGCCGAGGTCTCGCCAAGGAACACGGCCATGGCTTCCATGAACTCGGGCTGTCCTCCGCTGTCCACGACGTACACCACCGTCTCGTCCAGGAGCGTCTCGTGAGAGTCGCTGGGGATGTTGATGAGGGAGATGTACTCTTGGTCCTCCTCAGATGACTGCAGCAGGGACTCCAGTGTCACCTCTGCTGGGGCTGCTCTGGACGACCTGTCAGGAACGGCTGTTGATGTGTTTGTGGTGGGACTGCCAGTTGTTTTCACTGGCTGTGTGGCTGTGGATGACTGCTGGGCTGAGGACGAGGGCTGGGCTGGGGAAGACGGAGCAGGTGTGGGGAGGGACGCTGGGTCTTGGCTGGTGAGAGAGGCTTGGCCTAGTCGCTGGGCCCGCTCTCGCAGGAGGCTGGCAATGTATTTCTTCTTCTCCTCCGGGTTCCTCTTCTTCCAGTGGACCTTGTCGTGGACGATGACCACCTCTGTTTGGACGGGTCTCGTCAGGAGCGGTGTGCTGGTGCGCTGGTCTTCTGCCAGTGGCTCCTCCCCAATCACTGTCTGTAGAGACGTTGATTTCCCACTGCCAGCAATCCCCACCATCACCAGTTTAGTCAGTTTTCGTTTGGTGACTCCTCGCTTCATTTCTTCTTGGTAGATCTTCTTGGCACGTCTTCTTCCTGGTGGTTATAGAAGGCAAACATGTACACGTATAGTAAAGGTGTGTAAAAGGTGTCAATAACATTCACTAGATTCCAGGTAACTATTTGCAGTAGAAAATGGAGGGCCCAGCATTGTGGCACCCCACATGCAGCAAGGCCACTGGCACAAGGTTTTCCATGTATAATTATAGTTACCATGGAATCAGCATATCAACCAGCTTCATACATCTTGTTCTTTACTTATATAGGAATAATATGTCAAGGTTTACTAGTCTTTGCTGCAATCTGATTCAGGAGCTAGCTCACTTGAACTTGCTTTAGGTTAATATTACATAACTAATGTATGCTTGCATACATGTGTTGACAAAAGATAGAGGTTGGTAAGTGGAGAAAGATAAGATGAGACGGATGCTCACCAGTGGGGAATAGGGACTGGACTCTCTCAAGAACATGGTGATACTCTCCATATCCAAGCCGGTAGAGGGCATCTGACACATGCTCCCATGTCAGGTGAGGATGTTCAGTGGAAATCACTCTGAGCAGTTCTGCTTTCCTCTCCTTATCACTGGACAACTGAGACCTTATCTTACTCAGTATTGAATCTAGCACATCCATCTCCCAACCAAACTCCGTCCACAGTTTGTCAGGTAATGAGTCCAGAGCTGACGTCAGGTTGGAGAGAGTGAGGCTGATATCTGTGAGGATCAGAGGAACACTTTCATACAACATTCATAACTGACATGACCAGTCAACCAATTTCTTGTCATATCAATACACCACCCACTATATACTGTAGTATGTAAGCCAGTGTCATGAATAATGTTGTCCATGATGAATTACAGAGAGTGGGTGGGTTCTTACACATCTCAGCTATTTACAGCAACCAAACTCACAAACTATGGCTTACGCATACTCAATGTATGTACACATGGACAGAGTATTACAGTACTGTACTGCACATGTACATTCTCATACTGACCATGTGTGTGTGGTAGGTATTGTCTGACAGTCTCCAGGGCCGTGTGCTCCTCCAGGTACCATAACACACCAGCTATCCTCCCCCACGACACACCAGGTACAGTCTGGAGGCAGTACTGCAGACCAGCCACTCTCTTCTCTTCTTCACTCGAGTATGATCTACTGTCTCTGATCTGATTCATCACTGACCGGGAACACCAAGAAACCCCAGTAGCCCGTCTACCCAATACCCCAGAACCGTCTCACAGTAGCCACAGCACGTGCTACAGAGTGTGGAGTGAGGCTGTCATCTGGAGGGAGGAGGGGCAGGAGTGACAGTAACAATCACAAAATGACTAACATCTTCACCAGTCTACAGACTGGACTGGCTATGATACCACCTGTTCCCCATCATTTGTAGGTGCATGTAAGTTACAAACAATTGTTGCAGGTATTAAAGGAATTTGTGTCAGTACACAAGGGCTAAATAAACAATGCTGTTTTCTTTGTTGCCGAGCGCATTAACACGAGGCTACTACTTGTATTCTTGTACGTACGTGTCCGGCATGCTGGGGTATGTCATTAGTCACGCTTAGGGTAAAGTCAATTACGTCCGCATAGTATGTCAAGTGTGGTCACGCGTGTATGGAATGTCACACTTCCGTGCATTCGTGACAAGTCTAGCTTCCGCCGTGCGCGCGCGCAGATTCGTAGGAAGTCTGGCTTCGCGCACAGACAGGAGTACAGTACAAAGAGCTCTACGAACGACAGCGGACTGTTTACAATTACGCACGTATTGGCTGGCAGTGCAGCAGAGTGACAAGATATGCGCGTGCGCATTCCTAGTAATATTTTCTCCACTGCCACATTCCCTTTAATTATTGTGACGCAACTGAAAAAGCTATTTTCATGAATGTAGGCATAACACATATTGAGCATGTGCAATGGTAACAGGCTCTTTGGGGTGCATGAGCTGCGTGGGTGAATGCACCCCAATTAATGCCAAACATGTTGGTTGCTATGGATACACATACCAGTGAGAGGTTCAACATTGGATCTTATAGAGTCGGCCAGCTCTGTTTCTCTCATCAAGTCCAGGGCATTAATGAGTCTCCTCCAGCTGGCTAGAGGGTCGGTGTTGATCCAGTAGGATATAGCCTGCTGCTTTTGATCCATCTCATCACGGAAGTTGGCCATGACCTCTTTCTGCTTTGATTCAGGGATGGAGAGCCTGTATGTCAATGACTCACTCCCCAATCCACCCCACCACCTCTCCACCTCCCTCACTACTGCCAGTACATTGGAGGTAGTGAGGGGAACACCTGCCATGGAGTACACACATGTAGTGATGTATAGCATCCGTACTATATATAGACTCTGAACTAGCTCATTATGGAGGCTGTGGACACATTAATTTTCATTCTTTAATAGCACATGGACCACACCCTTTGTGTAGTTCTTGCGCACGTGATGTGGGTGGGGCAAATGGCCTTTCATTCAGAATGGCCACGACACTACAGAGAGGTGTGGTTTAGTTTACTGGGCAGGGAGGCTGAGTCAACAGGAGGTCTTTCAAAGTTTGCTAAATGAGGCAGCTGGGAATCATCTATTGTCCCAGCTTCTATAAAGACAAAACTATTCCCTCTTCTTTTAGGTCCACACACTTTTGAACACAACAACTCTCCCTCTCTTCACCCCACTACCATTCTGAACCACTGAATCGGCCCACGCGCTAGTCATTGAACTAACTGGTACTTACTTCGTTTCCCTCTCAGAGTGCTCTGGGCCATTTTACTGGGTCACTGTCTGTGGGAGAGAGAGACTCGGCGGCTTCCTGGACAGCAGATGAAGGCCGCGCTCAGCCCGGCACACGGCCGGCCGGCCGGACGGTCTACCTCGACGAGTAGGTAGGTGTGTGTGAGCAGCAGTAAACAACTAATACGAGCCCCACCCACAAAAACCAAATGCGCATGCGCGCGTGGTGGCCCATGGCCTGATGCAGTGATCAGCTCATCCTCAAATTTTGTGAAAGCTCCTCTTGTACTGCGACCGAGTCACGGCCTCCACTAGCTCCTATCCTCCACGAACCAGAGTTCATTCTCCAGACTGGTCCCTTCAGTCACATTGTTACTATTCTGGAGCGGAGCTCCTCAGCCCTATTACTGTATTGCATCTTTATCTTCCTCTTGCTAAAGCGGTTGCAAGAGACTGTAGCACAGACAAAAATAGGCCATGGGCACATTCCTTTTGCTTCACACCTGTTATGCACATGTGGAAACTCTTTCTCCAATATACTAGGAACTCCAGGTAAAGACCAACTAAGATTATCTTTTATTATGCAGAGTCTTCCGCTCCTACTGTGCCAGGAAGCAGCACTTCCACCACTTATAATCCACTTATATAGCAGATGTATGTTTTAGCACATTTTGTATGCATAGTGGGACTAGAGGTGCATTTTTGATGGAGAAAACCACAAAGCCACTGAAAGTTACTTGTTGAATCATAATAATGTGGTCCATACGCACAATTGAAATTTCAGGTAAATCTTTCAATTTTCAGCTTTAACCCCTTCCCCCCTCCCCCCTCACCAGGAAAGCTACCTGTCCCTAGCCAACTCCCTCATCTCCTCCCAGTCAGATCCCCAGAACCAGAGCCGGCTCATGGAGGCCTTCTCTCTCCTCACTCCTCCCTCTCTCCCTCTGGACTCCAAGAGAACTTCCAAAATCACTTTCAGAAAGAACCTCGAGCAGTTTCTACCGTTTGTGAAAGGTTTCTTGTGTTACAAATGACGACACACACGTTTCATCATCAGTTGTTTTCTTTTTTCTACCATTATAGCAACTATCTGGCGTCATATACCATTCTGTAGGATGTATGCTTTTTATTTCATAGTCAGACTTGTAATCATGTGAGGGAGAACATATGTACTTGCAGTTTGGTGGGAAAGTTTGTGGCAAAACTTTTGCAGATTAATTTTTGTAGGTTTACACCCACAAAATGTCGCAGACAAAGAACAAAGATTTCCTCCCCTACATGTTTTCTATGTTTACACAACTGCAGAAACAAAGGGCATGTGGTGCTCCCTGATTAGAATCATAACTACATAGAATGAACGCAACACATTTTTGGTGAGCGAATGAGAGAGTCACACGCGACATACACTCCTTCACGTAAAACATTACGGTATGTGCAAAAGCGTCTGTATAATAATGTGGAACCTCCGAACAAGGGACACTATGGGGCCAACGATTTTGTCCCTTGTAGAGAGGTTGTCCCTATCTCGGAGGTCAAATAATACACTAAAGTATTAGCATGGGGTTGAAACAAGTGTCCTTTGTAAAGAGGTTGTCCCTATTTCGGAGGGTCCCTTATCGGAGGTTCAACTGTAATGTGGAAAAGACCATTAGGTAGACTTGCTCCACTTGCCAATTATGCTTGCTGAGTTGTGTTGAAAATATAACCTCACAACTAATAAACAGCATTCTAACTAGCTACAGAGTCCATACGGCAATATTATTATGTAATCCGAGGCAATCAAAATCCGAGGGGTGTCCAAAGAGAGAGTCCTAGCAGACTGGAGGAGGGGTTCTGGAGAGAATGTTGGGATTTCCTGAGACTCAGTTCTGGGCTGGAGCTGGCACTGTGGGAGGGAGGGAAAGGATTGCAGTAATTTGGAGTATGTTCATACTTTTTTAATAGTAGGCACTGCCCTACCCTATTAAATTCACAGACTGTTCTATATACTACTGTACTAGAGGAATGCAACACGTTATTCGGGAGCAGACTGAGCAGTTCAATATTTCACACATCTTTTGCGTGTATTTAGTAGATCATTACAGTATGTGCAGTGCCCATCACATAAATTCCTGTATTGACATATAGACTATACTGACTACTGCACATACATACTGGAGTCCAATAATGTACATAAGGAAAAGGCAGGCATGCATGGATAATGTTTTGACAGACAGCATGCATAGAGTACTGTCCTACATTCATACATAGTCCCAATAATGGGTGGCAATAATATCTCTATCTAGAGTGCACCAAAGGTAGCATTGTACTGGTCACAGTGAGAATGGACAGATGTATACACATATCTCTCACACTGACCTTTGTACTTGGTGGCAATGCGTATGGCAAGGGCGTTGTTGTTCCCCCCATTGCGATGGGCCACTGCCTCCACCAACATCTTCCATGAAGGCAGTCCGAAACGCTCCGTGTTGTAAGACTGGTTCAGCCACTCTGTCACCATCTCTGACAGACAGCTCTCATAGTCGTTTTGGTCTCAGCTTTTCGATTCTGTCGAGGTGAGGCTGTCGTAGTCTGAGAGCTCCTCCCAGTGACTTCCACATGTGAGCCACGTCACCCAGTTCAGATACCACATCAAAATGGTCATCAATGTCTGCACAAAAGTTGAACGTGCAATATCGGCTAACTGGTTAGATAAAGGTCATTAAAGTAAAGGATGCAAAATATGAACACACTGTTTTAATGCGTACATTACACATACCTAGTGTGGACTGTTGGGAAGTGGTAGGAGGTGGCTGGGAGTGTGTAGTGGTGACTGGTGCTGCCTCTGACACTGTGGACTGCTGCTGGTTTGCCTGCAGTACAGTACACACATGCTTTCAGTGTTAGCTCGGAACAGAGCTTGCAGAATTACAATGGGGATCTGAACTACATAGGTACTGGATTGGTGAGGTAATCCACTTACAAGCCTCGTCACACCAGGGGAGGACAGTGCCCAGCTCTGCCAGAGTCCCACGGACACCCATGTCACTGGTGCAGTTCCATTTTCCGTCCTTGATGTAGGCTGTGTGGGCCTTGTCTGAGTGGGTCTTTGGACAGATGATGGCTGGCCGTGGCTTGTTGTTGGAGTAGCCCAGCATGTCCGACACCGTTTCAATTCCGTTGAAGATGGATTTGCCGACGTGTTGCCATAGTTTCTGTTCCTCTTCCTTGCTGGTGGTGTCTGAGACGTGGGCCTCGAAGTACCGGAAGCGATCCACCAGAGTGACGGAACCGAAATCTGGAACATGGAACTGGATGCAGTCGCGATACAAACACTTTGGCAGGTTGGAGGAGAGGCAGAGTTTCCAGGGGTGGGGGTGAGGGTGCTGGGGAGACAGGACGTGGGCCATCAGTGAGCAGAAGATTCCGTTCTGGGGACCTCCGTCGGGGAAGTCTACCACTAGGGGACCGGCCGACACGCACACTTCCTTTACCTTCTCCTCCGCCACTTGTCTCAGGACACTCGGCATCAACCAGGTCTCTGGACCCTCCTCACTCTCCAGTTTGGCAAACACCAGCAGCTCCTCCAGAAGGTGGATCAGATCCTCGCAGCTGAAGATCCCGCGGTGGTAGTGGCTGCTGAATCGCTTGTCCTCCAGGAAGGCCTTTGTCACGTGTCCAAACTTCTCAAACTGCTGCCAGCCTGGAGGGAGGAGAGACTCGTCTGCTGTCTGGGAGGAGGTGGCGGCTGCTTTCTCGGGAGTCGTGCCGTCTGTGTTGGTGGAGGTTGGCTCTGGCTGCACGGATTCAGACACTACTGAGGACTGAACACCTCGAATAGAACGCAGCAGCTTTTGCCGGATGCTTTGCAGCAATGACAGTCTTTCAGGTGTCCTGCTTACTGTGTCTGGCTCTGGCTTGTCGGTGTCTGGTCCTGGAGTCTGGCCTTTGGCTGCTGCGGCTGCTGCCTCTACTGGTGACGTCTTGTCTTCCTCTTCCGGCTCTCGCAGCTCAAACTTGAACACCACCAGCTCCGAGACCTTGTCCAGAATGACTTGTGGGTCGATGAACACCACTTCGGGGAGGATGTCGCGGAAGTAAAACATGAGGCTCCAGTTGTGGAAGAAGTCTAGGGCTT